AAAAAAAAAGGGAGAGAATGTGATTAGGCAGGAGACTAGAACAAAGCCATACACTAGTGATTTAGGGTATATTTTGATCTGTTAGAAGAAACTATCTCAAAATTTTAAAGAGAGAACAACTTACATATATATGCCAAAAATAAGGGTAACTACTATCAAGGGATAGAATATGACTTTAAAAATGAAAAATAAAAATGTTTTTTAAAAAAGGAATTGATAAGATGTTGGTTGAAAAAGGGAAAAAGAAAAATTAAAAAAAGTTAAAAAAATTAACTTTGAAAGACTATAGAATCATGGTAAAACCATGAATTCTATGTGCAGTATTCTCCTAGCGCTGGAGTTCTGCCATTCTCATTGATTGGTAAACTTGGTCTTGGCTGGCTGTTCTTACTGATCTTCTGGGGGAGGGGCCTGTTGCCGTGGTTCCCAAATGTCTTTGCTGGAGGCGGAACTGCCCCGCACTTTCCTGGTCCGGGCTGAATAATCTGCTCCGGTTTGCTCCCGGGAGCTTTTGTTCCCTGCAAGCTTTCCGTACAGCTTTGGAGGATGAGAGTGAAAATGGTGGCCTCCCAGTCTCTGCCCCAGAGGGGCCTAGATCTCAGGGCCCCGCTCCTCAGTGCGCCCCCAGAGAAAAGCATTCACTCTGGTCTCCCCGGTGTCCGGCCGCACTCCGTGCTCTCCCGGCCTGTGACCGAGCGTTTCTATGTCTGGCACCCGACTCTGTGTGGAGTCTCCAAACCCAGCGGATCCCTGCGGTGCGCTTCCGCGCCGCTCCTCCCGGGGGAGGAAGGGGAGTCTCCCCGGATCTGCCGCTCGTTGGGTCCCTGATGGAGGAGCAGTGGCCCGACTGTGCCGCGGATCACGGTTTATGGCAACCCCGAGCTGAGTGCCCACTCGGCTCTGTCTCTGCAGCCCGGTTCCCCGCTCCAGTACCTGGGAGCTCTGTCGCAGTCAGGCACCCCGTCTTTCTGTGACCCCGAGGGTCCTGAGACCACACTGTCCCGCGAGGGTTCCACCCCCTCCTTAGCCACTGTGGCGACGTCCCTCAGCGGAGCCGACTTCTGAAAGTTCCAATTTTGTGCAGCACTGCTCTAGCACTGCCAGAAGTGGCCGACGGAGGTCCCCTTCCCCCCCGTCTATCCTCCCGAATATCACCTCGAATTCACTTCTTCGCATGTCCTACCTTCCAGAAAGTGGTCGCTTTTCTGTTCAGAGTTGTTGCTGTTCTTTTTTTCGATCTCCTGTTGAGTTTGTAGGTGTTCAGAATGGTTTGATCCCTATCCAGCTGAATTCCTGAGACCAGACGAAACCCAGGTCTCCTCCTCCTCCTCCGCCATCTTGCTCCGCCCCTCTATTTTTTATTTTTTAAATTAATTTATTTACTTGAGAGAGAGAGAGAATCCCAAGCAGACTGCCTACTGAGTGTGGAGCCCGATGCAGGGCTGATCTCATGACACCGAGATCACCATCTGAACAGAAATCAAGAGTCTGAGGCTTAACCGACTGAGCCACCCAGGTGCCCCTTCACTCAGCATTTTAAAAAACATTTCCCTGTTTACTTTCACCATGTGGTCTGTTGTCATCTTGACTCCCCAGTCTTTGTGTGTGTGTGTTTTTCCTGCTCTGAAAGCCTTTAGGATTTTTTTTTTTTTTAATGTTCTCATTTTTCTGAGACTTCTCAGTGATATATACCTTTGTGTAAGTATTTTTCATTTACTACCCTAAGTAGTTGTGGGTCCTCTCTCCTCCTTGGTGCTTTTAAACAGATAGAATATTTTACCAAGTTTTAATAAGCAGAGCACACTTAAAAAATCCTGGGCTCATCCTTGGTTTTGTATGATGATCAGCCTCCTTTTTGTTTGCTTCCCCCTCTGCCAGCAGTTAACATTCAGCTTTCTCTGCTTTTCTCATTTAGTTATCTACATTCATCCTTTCTGCCTTCTAAAATTCTCTTAACTCCCTGGTCTGCTCTGACTCTTCTCCTCTTGGGCCATTATATTGCTGTCACTTTAGTGGGATCAGGGCGGGAGTGGAGAGCAGTACAAAAGTGCGGTGGGCTGTGTTTATACAGATGTTCCCTGTGCGTGTGCACAGAAAACCCATGGAAAGGAGCCAGAGGGACCATTGGGCACATAGAGCAGGGCCCGGCAGAGTCAACACAGAGGTCAGCAGGGGAAAGAAGCGCTGTTTGTAGGGATGACCACAAAGGGGTGCAGTGGGTCTTGGACTTTTCCTGTAGATGAGGGTGATGCTGGCTGAGGGCTGGCCCCCTTGGGGAGTTCGGGGCATTGGAGAACTGTCCTTGGCAATACCACCACACCCGGTAGGTCTCTGCCCCAATACTTAGGCTCCTTTGCCTTCACACAGGGCTTGAGCAGGAACCTGTTGTTTCAGGAGCCAGTGACCTTTGAGGACGTGGCCGTGTACTTCACCCAGAATGAATGGGTTATCCTGGACCCTTCACAGAGGGCTCTGTACCGGGAGGTGATGCTGGAGAATTATGCAAATGTGGCTTCCCTGGGTAAGGACTCTCTTCTCCCTGCTGTTGTCTGTCTCTGCCATTTGTGCATCCTGGCTACTTTCTTCCTTAGATATTGTGGCCTCTCTGATAACCCTCATGGGCAGTTGCTCTAAAGGCTGAGCTCAGAGGCTGCTGGGTGGGGAGAGTTTTGGGTTCCCAGGTTTTGAAATCTGCTGTCCCTCTAGCCCTGGGAGGGACTCTGCCCCATGCATGAAGGGAAAGGAAGAGCTCTTGGGAGCTCAGCAGAGCCCTTTGCCTCTGTCTTCCAAGTTCCCTGAAGAAGATCTGGGACTCCCTCATGCGAGTGGGGGTTTATTCCAGGACTCTGCCCCTGTTTGTGGGAATTTTCTGTCCTCCAAGATAGCACAGGCTGACTTGTCTTCATTTCCCTCCCTGGCTCAGTGAAGAAAGGTACAGACAGCCAAGAGGAGACCTTGCTTCCTGATTCCCTTTACTTTTTGTTCCTGTTTCTTTTTCCTGGGCAGCTTTTCTATTCACCAGACCTGTTCTGGTCTCCCAGCTAGAGCGAGGGGAACTACCATGGGGCCTGGAACCCTGGGAGCCTGCAGGCAGGGAAGCCCTCAGAGGCATCTGTCCAGGTGAGCATGAGAACCTACCAGCTGTCTTTTTTGCTTAGCCTGCTTTCCTATTTTCACATTTGAATGTGCGTGAAGTGTTTCTTCTTTTGTGAGACTGTTTTCTTTCTTCTGGAATCATTACATGTGATGCTGCATTCATGGTGGTAGCCCCTCTTAAATGAGGAAGGGCCAGTCTCTTTCAGGAAAGGCATGGCTGCAAGATTTCTCTGGATGTTCATCTTTGCCTCTCCACCTCACCACCTGCTAAGGGACACCATGTGACTGAGCGAGCAGCTCTTGAACCATGAAGGCTCTTTTGAGCCCTGTCTTGTGGAAAGTTTATTTTTCTGCCAGTTTGTTGTTGCAGAGATGAGGATGTCTACCACCTTAGAAGGAAAATAGGCTTCTGGGGCCTATCTAGTCATCCACGTATTCACAGAGTATATTATTTCTATGGGAATTTTTTTTTTTAAAGATTTTATTTATTTATTTGACAGAGAGACATAGTGAGAGAGGGAACACAAGCAGGGGGAGTGGGAGAGGGAGAAGCAGGCTTCCTGCAGAGCAGGGAGCCCGATGTGGGGCTCGATCCCAGGACCCTGGGATCATGACATGAGCCGAAGGCAAGACGCTTGATGACTGAGCCACCCAGGCACCCCTGGGAATTTTTTTTTTTTTTTAAAGTAAACTCTATACCCAGCGTGGGGCTTGAACTTAAAATCCTGAGATCAGGAGTTGTGTACTCTACTGACTCAGCCAGCCAGGCTCCTCTCTGGGAAACTGAGTTATGAGTTCCCACTTACTTAAATAAAAATAAAAAATAAAATAAAATTTTATGATTTAAAAAATTATTTAAAAAAATAAAAAAAATTCTTTTTCGTAATGGAAATTTTCACACATAGGCAGACACCAGCACAACACACCCCATGATTCCCTTGCCTCAACACCCACCTGAAGCCTGTAATTTTCCCCTACAGACGCTTAAAAAAACTTTGATTTTAACAGCTGAACTTTTGAAACAAAACTTATTATAAAAGAAAGGTGAATGGCTTCCTCATTTTGAAAGGTATTGATCTGAGAATTAAAAATAACAGTGTATTTTTTTTTGCCTTTTTTACTCTGTTTCACCCCTATTCTGCCTGGAAAAATTTCATGTCCTCTTCAGACTCTTCTCAGAGAATGTCCATAAATAATGCACAACTACCCCCACTCCAAGCCTTGTGTTCAAGTTCTGCCTTTCCCAGGACTTCAGCCTGTCTGGGTAAAGAGCATTTTTTAAACAGTTTGCTTGTAAACACATGAGGTTGCCACGGCCCAGTGCTGAAGATTATATTAGCCTGCAAAAGGCCTTAATAGGAGAGGGAAAATAGCTTTTGGTTTTCTCTATTTCACATTCCTGCTGTCATATTAAACTATATACAGTGTGCAGCAGTTTAGGAAAAGCACAAGTGTCATTACCAGGTCCTCCCTGAGGCTTATGTCCGTTCTTGGAAGGGTTCTTCACACGTGCAGTGAGTGCTCTTTTTAGAAGCAAGGCTCCATGTCTTCCCCTTTCTTTGCAGCTGCTGTCCTGTTAGCCCACCATAGTCCCCTTAGCCATCACATTGGAGGCTGCTGCTTTACTAGCGTCAGTTTGATGACAGAGACCGTTCTCTTTTCAGATTATGACATGAATAATGTAAAAAATAAGCAGCTTTTAAGGAATCAATTGTAGGACCCTTTGTAGTTTGAACTGCTTGACCTGCCCCTTGTTCAATCTGGTGGTCTTCCTCTGACCTTGGGGTCTGTAGTCATCATTTTTCCATACCTTCTTACCTCACCCATTCACTTGGGAGAAAGCAGTTGGTCTTTCCGCCCTAGTAGGTAACAGTCTTGGCTGTTTTCCCATCTTTACACTCTATCAGAATGCCTCCCGGCCTTGCTTGCCGCCCACCCATAGTGTCTTCATTTCACTTGTGGGGCTCTGCTGTGTGGTGGTCTTCGGTAGCCATTTTGTGTGCCTATGGGAAAATAGCCACTTGATCCTTTTCCCCTTCAGCACTATCAGAGGCTGACACTTTTTTTTTTCCCCTGTGATCTCAGGGGGTGAGACCAGAGCTGAGAAGGAAGAATCAACTCCAAAGGAACACATTTCTAAAGAAACGGAGTCCCACAGACTGACATTAGGAGGGCTGCCAGGGAATGTTCCCCAGCGCCTGGACTTTGGGAGCAGCCCAGAGCAGCAGCATGGTCACTGGGTAGCTAAGAAGGCCAAGTCGAACAGGAGAGATTTCACAGATGGGCCAGCCAGCCATCACGAGGCCTGCACTGTCGGGAGTGGGGAGCAGTGTGAGAAATCTGGGGAAAACGTTAGTGTCAGCACGCAACTCAGTACGGATCAGACAGTTCCTAGTGGTCAGCTATCATACGAATGTAGAAAATGTGGCAGATACTTTAGTCGAGTGGCGGATTTTCAGGGATGTCACACTGGTGAAAGGTCTTTCAAATGCAAAGAATGTGGAAAAGCCTTCAGATACAACTCATTACTTATTCGGCATCAGGTAATTCATACTGGAAAGAAACCATTTAAATGTAAAGAATGTGGGAAAGGTTTAAGTTCAGACACGGCCTTGATTCAGCATCAGAGAATCCACACTGGAGAGAAACCCTTTGAATGTAAGGAGTGTGGCAAGGCCTTCATTAGCAGTTCTGTTTTCCTCCAGCACCAGAGGTTCCACACTGGGGAGAAACTCTATGAATGTAACGAATGTTGGAAGACTTTCAGTTGTAGCTCAAGCTTTATCGTCCATCAGCGAGTGCACACTGGGGAGAAGCACTACGAATGTAAAGAGTGCGGGAAACGGTTAAGCTCCCCCACAGCCTTGACTCAGCATCAGCGCATTCACACCGGGGAGAAACCTTTTGAATGTAAGGAGTGTGGGAAGGCCTTCAGTCAGAAAATCACCCTGGTCCAGCACGAGCGAGTTCACACTGGTGAGAAACCGTACGAGTGTGAGGTGTGTGGGAAAACCTTCAGCTGGTGTGGGCGATTCACTCTGCATCGGAAACTACACACACAGAAGATACCTGTGCAAGAGTAGGGTTGTCTGCAGCTGGGTGTGCTGTGCCTCCTTGTTTCTCCCCACTCCTGTTCTTCGCCAGCACGCTGTTTACAGTTAGAAAAGAAGAAACCCCCAAACTCAGATGTACAAGGAAATGTAACTGGCTGATACTCTGTGGAGTTTGTGGTGTCCCTGAGTGCCCTGCAAGATGGATGAGGGATGTGTGGGAGGGCCTACATCAGAGGACACTGCTGTGAATTATCAAAACTCCAGGCTTTAAGAGATCTTAAAAAGGTTCTAGAGAAAACAAAAGATCAGGTATAAGAATGCATTAGATTTCAGAACAGCAGTCTTGAAAGTTAGAGGACAGTGGTGTATTCCTGCAAAATTCTAAGGGAAAATAAGTTCCACCCAGTGTTTAGTACCCTCAAGTATGAGCTTAGTATAAACTTAGATTTTGAACCTTTATCTCCCATGCATCCATTCTCAGGTGTGCAACACTACACAAGGGGTCAACCAGAAAGGAAACCCTATCACAATCTATATTAGGAGTCTTCTAGACTCAGAAACAGAGGGTCCTTGTCCATGTGGAGCCATCTGTATTTTGGAGGATATTCCTAGTAGGCTGCAAGTTTTCAGAGACCTACCTCAGGTGCAGTGCCCACCCACACTACTTACTCTGTAGTTACTTATTGCTCAGTTGTAGTCTGTGCCTTTGCGAAAGTTGGGGTATATATGTACCCTTTGAGTCAAATGCAAGGCCCTATTTATTCATCCATCTCATTGCTCTTCCAAGTGACCCTCATAGCAGGAAGCATTTCCTTGCAATTTCATTTAGTTCTATCTTACCATGGAAGAAGTGTCTGTTATTTTCTGTTACCAGTGGAGATGAGGGGAGATATAAACGTGTTCTGTTTTAGCATGCCCCTTTTGCAAGCTGCTTGACTTTGCCCACTGCAGGAAGCAGAGTAGTGGATAATATTACAGAGCCAGGCTGACTTTGGTATGAGCCCAGGTGTGTTACCTTGGTTAAGTACAGACCCTACTAATTTCCTTATCTGTAAAATCTGGATGACAGTCTACCTCATAGGTTTGTGTTGAGGATTAATTGCATTAATACACATAGGAGTGCTTAGAACAATGGAACCTAATAAAAGTGTTACTTATTATAATACCATTGCTAAGTGTTGACTTATGTATACACCAGTGAAATAGTCACCATAGTCAAGATAATAAACAGAGCCATAACCCCCCAAAATTGCTTATGCCCCTTGGTAATCCCTCTCTCACAGCTTTGCACAGCAACTGCTGATCTGTCCCTTGGATGAGTTTTGCTTTTCTAGGATTTTATATAAATATCCCATCATATGTATTCTTCTTTCTGTTCTGGTGTCTTTCAGCATAAATTATTTTGAGGTTTACCTATTTTCATATTCATTGTATCAGTGGTTCTTTTTTTTTTTTTGGCTGAGTAGTATTCCACTATGGAAATACCAAAATTTGTCTGTTCATCTCTTGATGGCCATTTGGGCTGTTTCCAGTTTTTAGTTATTACAAATAAAGCTGCTATGAACATTTGTGTTTAAGTCTTTGTAATGACGTAGGCTTTTATTTCTCTTGGGTAATTAAGAGGAGTGGAATGTCTGGGTCATAAGGTAGGTATATATTTACATTTTTATTTTTTTTAAAGATTTTATTTATTTATTTGACAGAGACAGAGACAGCGAGAGCAGGAACACAAGCAGGGGGAGTGGGAGAGGGAGAAGCAGGCCTCCCACGGAGCAGGGAGCCAGATGTGGGACTCGATCCCAGGACCCTGAGACCATGACCTGAGCCGAAGGCAGATGCTTAACGACTGAGCCACCCAGGCGCCCTATATTTACATTTTTAAAAAAGATTTTATTTAAGAGGGAGAGACAGCATGTGCACACACAGGTGCGGGGTGGTGGGGGGAGAGGGACAAGCAGACTCCCTGCGGATCGGGGACCCTGGACGCCCCGACGCAGGGCTCAATCCCAGGACCCTGAGATCATTACCTGAGCTGGAGTCAGATGCTCAACTGGCTGAGTCACCCAGGTGCCTGCCCCAGTATATATTTACATTTTCAAGAATCTTAAACCTCTACAAAGAAGTTGTACCATTTTATATCCGTACCAGCATTGTATGAGAGTTATACTTCCAAGACATCTTTGGCTATGCTTAATATTGTTTTAAATTTTAGCTCTTATAAAGTATAATGCTGTCTCATTACTTTGCATTTCCCTAATGACTAATGATGTTGAACATATTTTCATGTGCTTATTTGCCTTCCATATGTCTTAAGTGTCCATATCTTTTGCCTATGTTTTTATTGGGTGGTTTTCTTTTTATTATTTGGGAGGTCTTTTGGGGGGTGGGGGTTCTTTATATATTGTGGATACAAGTCCTTTTCCAGATACGTGATTTCTAAACATTTTCTCCCAGCATGTGGCTTGCCTTTTCATTCTTTTTTTTTATTTTTTTAAGATTTTATTTGAGATTGAGTGAGCACGGGTGGGATCGGGAGAGAGGGACGGAGGGAGAGGATAAACAGACTCCCTGCTGAATGGGAAGCCTGGTGTGGGGCTCAGTTCCAGGACCCTGGGATCATGACCTGAGCCGAAGGCAGACACTTAATGACTGAACCACCCAGGTGCCCCAGTTACTGTAGTTTTTCTAAGTGTTGAAGTCACACAGTGTTAGTTTTCCTATTTTATGTTTTGCCAAAGTTGTGGCCATTCTAATTCCTTTGCATTTCACAGGAATTTTAGAATCAGTTTGCAGATTTTTACAAAACATATCCTTAAATTTTGAGATTGTATGGACTCGTTAGATCAATTTTGGGGAGAATTCACATCTTTCTTAACTGTATAGTCTTTTACCTCAAAAACATGGTAAATCTCTCATTTGGATCTTCATTTCAGCAGTGTTTTGTAATTTTTACTGTATGTCTTTCACACCTTTTCTCAGATTTGTCTAAATATATCATTTTTTGATGCCATATATAATAGCAAATTTCTAAATGTTCATTGATGGTATATAGAAATGCAATTGACTTTTGTATTTTGACCTTGTATCCTGCAATCTTGCACAACTCACTTATTTTAATAACATTTTTCTAACATTGAGAATCATGTTCATAACCATTTTACTTCTTTCCAATTCTGGATTTATTTTTCTTGCCTTATTGCACTGGCTAGTGGCTGGGGATAGTGTGTTAGGGAGAGCCAGTCCTTGTGGCATTGGCCAGGTGAGGGACATCCAGCTCCAGACCTTCAGTTTTGCTGATACATGAGCAGGCTCACTGACAGCTGTAAAAGCAGCTCAAGTGTCCCATCTCCTGGTTCACCTTGCCTTCTAGCTGCCTGTAGGTCAGCACTGCCTGTACTCTGTCCCTCTGGTGAGGATGCTCTGGGAAAGAATGGGACTCTTGTTGCACGCTCCCAGTTTTCTCCTCTGACTGCCCATGATTCCAATTCTCATTCTCACAACTTGGGGATTTTTATTTGGGTCTACCCAAAACTCTCATATTCTCCCTGCACTGGTATAATACCAGATAGAGGAATTCCGTGTCCAACGTTGTACCCCTTCAAGTTAGACCTGATTGTGATAATTGGCTAATATATATATATTTTAAGATTTTATTTGAGAGAGAGCGAGCGAGTACAAGCAGGGGAAGCAGCAGAGGGAGAGGGAGAAGCAGGCTCTCCGCTGAGCAGGGAGTCCAAAACGAGGCTCCAGCCCAGGACCCTGGGATCATGACCTGAGCCAAAAGCAGATGCTTAACTGACTGAGCCACCCAGGTGCCCCTGGCTAGTACTTTTTAAGGGTTTGTGATGTGTATATGTGTGTGTGTGTACCCATATATGTGTGCCCATCTTTCTAGATTCATGGTAGATGTTCATTTTGATAGGTTTAGAGAAGGGGCAGTATGAAAATAAAAGCCCTCATCATGCTATTGTTCCTGGCAATCTAATTTATTTAAAACAATTGTACAGAAGCTTTACAATAAAAATACTGGAAATTTTATAAAATACATGGTTTCTATGATAGGCAAAATCTCAGTGCTAGGCAGCCTCCATATGGTCCGCAGTGATTCTAATCCTTGCATTCATGCTCTTATGTATCTCATCTAATACTGTATTATGACTGGCCTATGTTGGTAGTATATTGAGGTGATGATGGTGCATGACTTCTGAAGCTAGGTCATAACCCTAGTTGGCTTTGGCCTTTTTTAATTTTTATTTTTAAAAAAGATTTTCATTTTTTAAGTAAACTGTACAACCTGTGTGGGGCTTGAACTCATGACCCTGAGATCAAGAGTCACATGCTCCACCAACTGAGGCAGCCAGGTGCCCCTGGCCTTGGCCTTTTGGATTGCTTACCTTAGGTAGAATCCTGTAGCCTTGTGAGGACACTCAGCTGTGTGCAGAAACCGGTGTGGGAAGGGACTGAAGTTTCACACCAGTAACCAGTACCAACTTGCCAGTCATGTAAGTGAGTTATCTTGGAGGCAGATGCTGTAGGCTCAGTCAAGGCTTTCAGATGAGTGCAGCCCCAGGTGACACCTGCATGGAACTTCATGAGAGATCCCAAGCTGCTATCTTCCAGCCAAACCACTCCTGAATTCCTGGTCTACAGAAACCTCAAGCAATAATAAATGTATATTGTTTTCAGCCACAAAGTTTTGGGATGATTATGCAGCAGGAGATACCTATTGTACTCTCCATGACAGGACTTTTTTTTTTTTTTTAAAGATTTTATTTATTTATTCATGAGAGACAGAGAGAGAGAGGCAGAGGGAGAAGCAGGCCCCCAAGGAGCAGGGAGCCCGATGCAGGACTCGATCCCAGGACCCTGGGATCATGACCCGAGCCGAAGGCAGACGCTTAACCATCTGAGCCACCCAGGTGCCCCATGACAGGACTTTAAGCTGTGGTTTGTTAATCTAATTCCTGTGGAAGTGTAACAGCACTCCAGCCGGTCTTAAGGGTTAACACTCCTTACTTGCTGACCTAAGGCCTCAGTCTGTAACAGAACTATTTTACTTTGAGATTTGCAGACCATTGGCCTTGAGAAGAACCGGAACCTTCCCAGGTCCCAGAGGCCAGCAAATCTGTTTGAAGCCACCTCGGATTTCTGATCAGTCCAGCAAATTTTTTTTTTAACCAAAATATTTTTTTTAGGCTACACAAATGATTTTACTAACCTCCCTTTGTGTATCTATAGACCTTGCCCTGCTTTCCAGAAAGAAGGGAGTGCTCGGTCATATCACGACACAAGAACAGGACCCCCATGCACAACCCCAGCATTGAAAATGTTTCTAGCTGGCCTCAAATCTGCACGTGTTCAAGAAATGCTACAGGCCACTGCCCACTCTGCCGATTAACTACCCTAAACCCCTTTAAGCCCCCCCGGGACAGGCAGAAATCTCAAAGGGGGCTTTTGGACAAAAGTCCAACTTCTCCCTCGGGTGCCGGCCTCCTGAATAAAGCTCAGATTCCTTTCCAAACAAAACTCGTCTCTTGAGTGACCTCTCAGGTAACAGGCAGCCAAATGGGTTTGGTAACAAAAGGAGTAGAAACTCTTGTGATAGAGCCATACATCCAGATAGCAAGGATCGTTCTATCTTATAGCAGTGGGAGGCCAATTCCCCTCCATAGCACTGAAGTGCTTGGTGAGTAGGAGGCGTAAAGTCCGTTCACGTTGGCAACCACACTGGCAGGCCGTGGTCACTGGAACACGGGGACCCAGTGATTTCCAAAGTCTTGGTCGCTATATTGAGGGCACTGATTGGCTGACTTTCGGAGTGTTTACCACTAATTGGCTCATGTTCAGAAGCTTGGGCTGCCATTGATTTGCTAACTTTCAGAAGGAAATTGGGACCACCCAAGTGAGACTGTCACTCTATTGGCTAATTTGCAGAACATGTGTACTGACCCAAAGTTGTGCAAATTAACTGCAATTACTTGAATAAGAAAAACAGGTAACTTTAATCTGTTAATCTGTTTTAACTTCACACAGCCAAACCTGCAGGAGAGACTGTTAAGGGATTATCCAGATCTTTATTTATGGAAGGTATGATTTTTTTTTTTAGCCAATTATTTAAGTGCCAGTTATCGGGTGGAAAAATAGCTCTAAACCACAGATTTGTTGGTAAATTTATTGGGAAAAGCTAAACAGGACATTTAAGTCAATACAGAACAAAATCATCTAACATAGGACATGTCCTGTATATACAGGATGCCTGGCAACTTTAGTCACCATTATTTTGGTAGCTAAATGAGTCTGTCCTAAAAGGACCCACACGTGCATGTTCTAGTAAGGGAGAGGGCTTTACACGGGTGGATGGAAACAGTTTTCCTAAGGGCGGCCCAGCTTGGGGGACCCAAGCAGTGTCGGCTTGGGTCTCTAAGAGGTGAAACACCGGGAGCCATTCGCCCCCACAGCAGCGCAGGCCGGGTGACGCTCGGAATAAAGGCGGCCGACCACTGACGGGCTTTCGATTAACCCGGGGCCCACCTGGGTCCGGACGGGGCACCAGAGCCGCAGCGTGCCTGACCCCTAGAGGCTGCAGCGGCGGCAGCGGGAGAGGCACCAGCCAAAGAGCAGGCCGGCAGCGGCCCGCCGCAGCCCCGCCTCTTCCGCGCGGCCGGCCGGGTCACGTGGTCCGGGCCGCGGGGACCACAGAGACGGGATGCCTCCGCGCGGCCTAGAGGGGCGCTGGGCGCTTGCGCTCGCTTCCGCATCGGCTTGCCTCTACCAGCTTTCCGGTGTTCGGAGAGGGAGAGCGTGGGTTCCAGCGAGGTCTACGTGCAAGGTCCGCCCGGCATCGGCTTCCTCGTTTTCCCTGGCGGCTCGTCAGCGCCCCCCACCCCTGAACTCGGGCCCAGTGTCGGCTCATCCCCCCTCCCTGACTCGGAGCTCGGGCGCTTGGGCCTCGCAGAAGCCGCCCGAGGTGGCCGCGCGGCCTTCTAGAGCCCTGGCCCAGCCCCCTGCCCACCGAGGCGTGATCCTCTTTTCTGTCCTAAAGAACTTGGCCCAACAGCCTCCCGCGTCCACTACTGACGTTTCTGTTTAGGGTCTCTGATTCCCTGGGTGGAGATCCCGGTCGGGGTCTCCGGTCAGCATCACCCACTGGAACGCTGAGTAACTGTTAATCCGCATCTTGCCATCTCTGTCCCTCCTTTCCATTGGCTCCGTTTTTGGGTCAACGTCATGGTTCCTGTAAGTGCGCTTTTAGGTTTGTTCAGACCCAACACTAGGGACAGGATTTGTCTTAGATCCCTCCGTCCACTGCGTGTGAATGGGTTCAGGAACACTCTTGGACTGAGCAGGAAGATGAGGATTGTCCTGAGGACCAGGCAGAGCAGTTCATGAGGTTGTTGGGGGCCATCAGCCCCGGGGGGGGGGGGTGTTTCTGAGAGAGTCTCCTGCCAGTGCTGGAAATGAGACTGGGAAGGCTATAGGCGGCTGTGGGTGTTGTAGGACAGGGTGCAAAGCACTCATCGCTCTTCTTCTCTTAGCTCCTAAGGTTCTTGCTTTTCCAAATCAAGAAGACAGTGCACGAAGCCAGGGGACATCAGCCATGCTCCAAACATCTTGGCCTCAGGTGAGCTGAGCTTCCTTTCAGTCTTTTAAAATTAAGTTAGCTATCAGGTAATTAGGAAAGGACCAAGAAGGCCTGATTTGGCCACGCTCTGATTTCCCCCTTAAGTTTATCTCCACAGCTATGGCTGTAAATAGTGGTGGAGGAAATAAGAGTTGTGTGTATGAGAGTGATGAGTGTGGATGTGTAGGTTTAAGTGGGAAAAGAGGCACCCAAGCTAAGAAATTCTCTCTGAATGTGGAAAATCCAGATCATGTTCTGCAAATAAAAGTTGCCTACTGAGATCAGAGAAATTCTGTATTGAAGAAATTGTTCCACAAATTGTAGAGGTATCCCAGGGAGACCTTTTCTCATGGAAGGTACCTGCTAGCAAAGTGGATAGTCCCTAAAGAAACTAGTAAGTTAATTACATGTTGCTAAAGTGCAGTGCTTCTCCAAAGTGTGGTCCCTACATGGGCAGCATCCATATCCCTGGGAGGTCATTAGAATTGCAAATTCTTGGGCCCCACCCTAGACCCAGAATCAGGGAGGACTGTGAGTGGGGCCAGGAATCACTTGTAACAAGCTTTTCAGGTGACTTTTTTTTTTTTTAAGGTATGATTTATTTGAGAAAGAGCGTGAACAGAGGGAGGGGCAGAGGGAGAAGCAGAACCTCACCCCCCCCACTGAGCAGGGAGCCTGCTGTGGGGCTCAATCCCAGGAGCCTGGGACCATGACCTGAACCAGAAAGCAGATGCCTGACTGAGCCACCCAGGCGCCCTTCTTCAGGTGATTCTTATGCCCATACCTTTTCAAATCTGAGAAGGCTTGAAGAAGCTCCCTCTCAAGGTGGTGGTCAGGGAAGCCCTCATGGAGGTAGTAACATGGGGGTTGAGATCCCAAGAATGAGCTAGAAACAGTTTTGGGAAGCACTGAAGAGAGAGCTAACAAAGAGCTTTCCAGAGAGAAGGATGGCAAATGCAAAGGCTCTATATCTGGGAGAAACCTGGTGTACTCTAGAAACAGGGAGAGGTCAAAGAAAATAGTTTACTGTGAGGTGGGAGAAGTAGGCACATGTCTTGTAGGACACTGTAAAGACTGATTTCTATTCTGAGTTCAGTGGGAAGGAGCTGAAGGATTATTAAGCAGGGTAGGTGACATGGTTGGTCATATGTATTAAAAAGATTTTCCAGCAGACTTTGGGTGTCTCAGTTGGTAGGGCATGTGACTCTTGATCTCAGCATTGTGAGCTCAAGTCCCATGGCCCCAAGTTGGGTGTACGGATTACTTAAAAAAAAAAAAAAAAAAAGATTTTTCCAGCCCAGTGGTGAGTTGGTTGTAGAAGGATATGAGTCAGTTAGAAGCATATTGTAGTCCAGATAAGAGATAAATATTGTCCTTTTTAAAAAAATAGGCTTTATTTTCAGAGAAGTTTTGGGTTCATAATAGAGTGGAATAGAAAGCCCAGAGAGTTTCCGTACACACCCTGCCCCCTGCCTCCATACATGCATAGCCTATTATCTTTTTATTTTTTTAATTTTTGTTTATTTATTAAGTAAACTCTACCCCCAACATGGGGCTCAAGCTCATGAACCTGAGATCACATGCTCTAAGGAATGAGCCAGCCAGGCACCCCTAAAATTTTTTTTGAGTGTAGTTGACATACAATGTTACATTAGTTGGAGTGTAACATAGTGATTTGGTAAGTTTATACATTATGCTACTCTCGCCACAAGCATGGTTACCATCTTTCACCCTGTAACACTGTTACAATGTCATTCACTATATTCCTTATGCTGTACCTTTTATTTCTATGATTTATTCATTCCATAACTGGAAGCCTGTGTTTCCCTCTCCCCTTCACCCATTTTGCCTATCCTCCCCACTCCCTGTAACCATCAGTTCTCTGTATTTACCAATCTGATTCTGCTTTTTGTTTATTCATTTTTCTTTTTTAGATTCCACATATGAATGAAATTATATGCTTTTGTCTTTCTTAGTCTGACTTATTTCATTAGCATTAATACCCTCTAGGTCCATCCATGTTGTTGCAAATAACAATCTCTGGGCTCCTGGGTGGCTCAGGCAGTTAAACGTCTGCCTCCAGCTCAGGTCATGATCTCAGGGTCCTGGGATCGAGCCCCTGCTCAGCGAGGAGTCTGCTTCTCCCCCTCCCTCTGCTGCTCCCCCCTCCCTCTGCTGCTCCCCCCTGCCTGTGCTCTCTAGCTCTCTCTGTCAAAGAAATAAAAATCTTAAAAAAACAAAAAACAGAAAAACAACAACACAAGAAACAAGTGTTGGGGAGGATCGGGAGAAAGGGGAATGCTCTTGCACTGTTGGTGGGAATGCGAACTGGTGCCCCTCCCCCTGCTCGTGCTCGGTCGCTCGCTCTCTTTCACTCTCTCTCAAATAAATAAATAAAATCTTAAAAAAAACCCAACCAAACAAAAACCAAATGACACAATCTCATCCTTTTTATGGCTGCAGAATATTTCAGTGTGTGTGTGTATATCACATCTTCCTTATCCATTTGTCTATTGATGGACACTTAGGTTGAATCCATATCTTGGCTTTTTAAATAATGCTGCATTACACGTAGGGACACATGTATCTTTTTGAATTAGTGTAATTCCACTACCCAGTAGTGGAATTATTGGATCACATGGTATTCTGTTTTTAACTTTTTGAGGAACCTCCATACTGTTTTCTTTTCTTTTTTTTTTTTTTTAAGATTTTATTTATTTGAGAGAGAGGGAATGAGAGATAGAGAGCACGAGAGGGAAGAGGGTCAGAGGGAGAAGTAGCCTCCCTGCTGAGCAGGGAGCCCGATGCGGGACTCGATCCCAGGACTCCAGGATCATGACCTGAGCCGAAGGCAGTCGCTTAACCAACTGAGCCACCCAGGCGCCCCCTCCATGCTGTTTTCCACAGTGGCTGCACCGCTGTGCCTTCCCACCAGTAGTGTGCCTGTGTTCCCTTTTCTCCGCATCCTCACCCACACTTGTTATTGTCTTTTTGATTTTAGCCATTCTGGCAGGTGTGAGGTGATACCTCATTGTGGTTTTGATTTGCATTTCCCTGATGATGAGTGCTGTTGGGCATCTTTTCTCATGTGTCTGTTGACCATCTGTAGGTCTTTGGAGAAATATCTATTCAAGTCCTCTGCCCATTTTTTAATCAGATTTTTTTCTTTGTTTTTTTGGTGTAGAGTTGTAGAAGTTCTTATATTTTATATGTTTTTCATATTAACTCCTTATTGGATATATTATTTGTAAATATCTTCTCCCATTCAATAGGTTGTCTTTTTGTTTTGTTTTGTTGATGGTTTCCTTTGCTGTGCAAAAGCTTTTTACTTTGGTATAGTCCCAGTAGTTTATTTTTGCTTTTGTTTCCCTTGCCTTAGAGGACACATCTAGAAAAATGTTGCTATGGCTGATGTCAGAGAAATTACTGTCTGTGTTCTCTCTAAGGATTTTTATGGTTTCAGGTCTCACTTTTAGGTCTTTAATCCATTTTGGGTTTATTATTGTATATGGTGTAAGAACGTGGTTCAGTTTCAATCTTTTGCACGTAGCTGTCCAGTTTTCTCAGAACCATTTATTGAAGAGACTGTCTTTTCCCCATTGTATATTCTTGCCTCCTTTGCTACAGATTAATTGACCATATAAGTGTGGATTTATTTCTGGACTGTCTTTCTTATTCCATTGATCTATGTATCTATTTTGTGCCAGTACCATACTGTTTTGATTACTACAACTTAGTAGTGTATCTTGAAATCTGGAATTGTGATACCTCCAGCTTTGTTTTTCTTTCTCAAGATTGCTTTGGCTATTCTTAGCCTTCCCCATAATCAACATCCCCCACCAGAGTGGTACTTTTGTTACAGTTGATGGACCTACACTGACACGTCATAATCACCCCAAGTCCGTAGTTTACATTAGGGTTCATTCTTGCTGGTGAACATTCTGTGGGTTACAAATACATAATGACATGTATCCATCATTATAGAATCATACAGAGTAGTATTATAGTATCATACAGGGTATTTTCATGGTCCTAAAAATCCTCTGTGCTGTACCTATTCATCCGTAGCTCCTTGGCAACCATTTTTTTTTTTTTTTTTGCTGTCTTCAAAGTTTTGTTACGTAGTTGGAATTGTACAGTATGTAGCTTTTTCAGATTGGTTTCTTTCACTTGGTTATATGCATTTAAGTTTCCTCTATGACTTCTCATAGCTTTATAGCATAATTCTTTTTAGCGCTGAATAACATTCCATAGTCTGAATGTACCACAGTTTATCCATTCATCTCTATTGAAGGACATCTTGCTTGCTTCCAAGTTTTGGCAATTATGAATAAAGCTGTTATAAACATCTGTGTGCAGGTTTTTATATGGATATAAGTTTTCAACTTATTTGGGAAGATCCCAAAGAGCATGGTTGCTGGATCATATGGTAAGAGTATGTTTAGTTTTGTAAGAAACTACCAAACTGCCTTCCAGAGTGGCTGCACCATTTTGCATTCCTGTCCGCAACAAATGAGATTTCCTGTTGCTTCACATCCTCACTAGCATTTGGTCTTTTCAGTGTTCTAGGTTTTGGCCATTCTAGTGGTATCTCAGTGTCTTAATGTATGTTTTCCTGTTGACATATGATGTAGAGCGTCTTTTCATATACCTGTGTGCCACCTGTGTATCTTCTTTGTGAGGGGTCTCTTCTTGTCTTTTGCACATGTTTTAATGGGGTTGTTTGTTACCTTTGAGATTTAAGAGTTCTTTGTGTATTTTGGTTAAGTCCTTTATCAAATAGGTCTTTTCAACTATTTTTTCCCTGTGGTGGCTTGTTTTCTCATTTTTTAAAAAAAGATTTTATTTGTCAGAGAGAGAGTGAGAGAGAGCATGTGCGTGCGCACAAGCAGGGGAAGCGGCAAGCAGAGGGAGGAGCAGACTCTCCACTGAACAGGGAGCCTGATGCAGGACTTGATCCCAGGACCCTAGGATCATGACCTGAGCCAAAGGCAGATGCTTAACTGACTAAGCCACCCAGGTGTCCCTTCTCATTTTCTTATATCCTATTTTTTTCTTTTAGTTTTTAAAAGGAAGATATATTTGACAAGTTTCACTTAGTGCAATACACCTAAAAGGAAATCAAAATACAATGAAAGATTTACATCAAGGCCTCAGAATTTCATACAAACACCCAAGACCAAAATCCTAAAGTATCTCAAATTTTCTCTGTTAATTTAATTTTATTCTTTTTTTAAAAGATTTTTATTTATTTGAGAGAGAGTGGGAGCAAGAGAGATCACAGAGGGAGAGGGAGAAGCAGACTCACCACTGAGCAGGGAGCCTGACGCGGGGCTCGATCCCAGGACCCTGGGATCATGACCTGAGCCGAAGGCAGACGCTTAACCAACTTGAGCCACCCAGGCACCCCTGAAGTATTGGCCTTTCAGTGTAGGGCTTAATTCCTGCTCATCTTTTCTTTCAAAACTTCTTTTCTTCAAAACATTTTGGGTAGTCCTCCACACTTACTTTTCGGGTGACACTGTTGTTGTTGTTGTTGCTGTTATTATTTATTTATTTATTTTTAAGATTTTATTTATTTGTCAGAGAGAGAGAGAGAGAGAGCACAAGCAGGGGGAGCCACAGGCAGAGGGAGAGGGAGAAGCAGGCTCCCCGCTGAGCAGGGAGCCCGATGCAGAACTTGATCCCAGGACCCTGGGATCATGACCTGAGCTGAAGGCAGACGCTTAACTGACTGAGCCACCCAGGGGTCCCTATTATTATTATTTTTAAAAGCAGGCTCCACGTCCAATGTGGGGCTTGAACTCATAATTCTGAGATCAAGACTCCTCTGTTCTATGGACTGAGCCAGCCAGGTACCCCTCAGATGACTTTAAATGATCTTTTTTCTCTGCACAGATGTCATTGACTCTTTTGGTGGGAGCGTGGGTTTTATTGAATTCCGAGGCACAGTTGGCTATAATTGTTTACAAATTTGATTCTTCCCACTCAGAAACACTGTTTCTCCTTTATTTCTGTGTGTTCATCTTGGTCTTGCACATTTTTGTTAGGTCTAGTCTTAGCTATTTGTATATGAATGGCATCTGTTTTCTCCCATTTTATCTTCTTTTTTTTTAAAGATTTTATTTTTATGTAATCTCTACACTCACCAGGGGGCTAGAACGTACCACCCTGAGATCAAGAGTCATGTGCTCTGCCAACTGAGCCAACCAGGCCCCCCCCCCGCCATTTTATCTTCTAATTGTTACAGTATTTAGAAAAGCTAGTGATTCTATATTTACTTACCCTATCTGTAGCCAACTTAATGAATTATTTTGTCAGTTCTAACTATTTTCCATTTATTACCTTGGCTCTTGGGTATTTTTAGGCAGATAGTTACTTCATCTGCAAGCAAAGATGTTTAGGTGCATTTCCTGCATTTATGCTCCTCTTTTAATTTTTTACAGAAGGGGGAATCTCTGCTCATGATAAAGTACCGGCCATCAATTTGAGTGGATATGCTCTGGCATTTTACTCAGGGTGGTATTTGCTGGTGTTTTTTTTTTTTTTTTTTAAGATTTTATTTATTTATTTGACAGAGAGAGACACAGCGAGAGAGGGAACACAAGCAGGGGGAGTGGGAGAGGCAGAAGCAGGCTTCCCACAGAGCAGGGAGCCTAATGTGGGGCTTGATTGCAGGACCCTGGGATCATGACGTAAGCTGAAGGCAGACGCTTAACGACTGAGCCACCCAGGCACCCCTTGCTGGTGTTTTCTGGCCCTCTTCATAAGTTAAAAATATTTATGGTCAAATCATTTCTGAGATTCATTTAGCAAATTTATATTAAGCGGCTAGTATCTGCCAGGCACTGGACTGTGTGTTAGTGAACCGGTTATGAACAAAACAGAGTCCTTGCCTCTATGTTCTTTTGGAGGGAGATCGATAATGAACAATCTGATTTGTTGGATGATGAGAAAGGCTGTGGAGAAAAATAAGGTGAGGTACATGGGGACTGTCCATGGGAGAAAAAAAGGTATATCCACAACCCAACTACCTTAAAGCAGTAAGTTTTCCTTTTTCCAGACTCTGGAACCCTGGGGATATTTGGTGGCAGGTGGGAGGGACAGTGGGGGAGGAAGAGATTGGTGGCAGCAGGCTGGGAGGTGGGGTTTGTGAGAGCAGCCCTGGAGAAGTGGGGAAGTGAGGTCTGACTTGCTCTACGTGGAGGTGAACTTTGGTTCACCTGTGGTCCTGTGGTTGGTGTCCTCAGAGGCTTTACCACCTTGTGGTTCTTTCTAGTGTTGGGATTCTTTTTTGGCTCAGATTATTTTGGGGGCCCTTTGGACCTTGTCATTGCCCAGTTTAAAGGCCACTTCTTGCTTTGAGGAGTGTCCATGTTTGTTCTTTTTCTTTCAGTGTCTCCTTTTGAACTGGGTTCCCTAATTGTTGTTCTAAAAGGACACCCTCTGGGCGCCTGGGTGGCTCAGTCAGTTAAGTGTCTGGTTTCGACTCAGATCATAATCTTGGTTTCGGCTCAGGTTGTGATCTCAGGGTCATGAGATCAAGCCCCTCATCGGGTGCCACAGGGAGCGTGGAGCCTGCTTAGGATTCTCTCTCTCTCTCTGGCCTCCCCCTCCAGCTCCAACCCCCACTCACGCGCTTGCTCTCTCTCCCTAAAAAAATAAAAGGGCACCTTCATAAGGACCCGAGTGTAGAGAGGCCATGAACAGTGTGCCAGCATTTATCCTTGGGATACATTTCTTCCAGGCTTCCTCCAAGAGCAGTTACAATAGCCTTCCTTTCTCCCTGGCCCCGGTGCTGCCCCCAGTGCAAGGCCGCTACCCAGAGTGACAGGGGCACACAGAGTTAGGGGCTTAGCTGAGCCCCTCTTGGTAGGTGTTTTCACTTTTGGTGACTGGAAGAATAAGGCTGCTTTACAGGGTACTGAATGTCTCCTAGGACGTGGACTTGGGGGGAGGCGGGACAAGAAGGTGGGACAGGCACAGACGTCACGAAACTTCCCATGTGAGAATCTAGTTCCTGTGGTCTGTGCCGCCCCCCTGTAGAAGCAGAGAAAGTAGCCAGTGGACACCATTAGGGATTGCTCTTGGGCCTCATGGAAGGTTCAGAGGCTCTGGCTCCTGGGGTGGTATTGAGGTTTTGAAAGAGCTGACCCCTCAGTCCGCACTCGGGGAGGGAGTCCCTGTGGCTTGGAGGGAACATGGTAAAGACAGATTGACAGGTGCTGTTGGGAGTTAGGAGTTTGAGAACCTGTTCTTCAAAGATGGGACAGCACCAGGTAATGATGAGGATCAGGGGCGAGCCATGTGTTAGGGGAAGCTCGTGAGCCTGGTATGGGAGGCAGCTTGGTGTGTGGGAAGAGCCCAGGTCTGCTGTTTGAGGGATCTGGGCTGAAATCCCAGCTCAACCAGTTCCTGTCTGTGTGGTCTTGGGCAAAGTAATTCATCTTTCTAAACCTTAGTTTCATCATGTGAAAATGGGAGTAATAATTCCTACTTCATATATATGTTTTAAGATTAAAGGACATACAGGGGCGCCTGGGTGGCTCAGTCAGTTAAGCGTCTGACTCCTGATTTTAGCTCAGGTCATGATCTCAGGGTCCTGTGCTTAGCAGGGAGTCAGCTTGAGATTCTCTCCCTCTGCCTCTGCCCCTCCTGCTTGTGTGTGCTTGTGTGCTCTCTGTCAAATGAATGAATGAATGAATGAATGGATCTTTAAAAAAAAGATTAAATGAAATATAAGTCCTAAAGGTACCCACCTAAGAACTTGGTGCCTAGGGTCTTAATTAACAAGTATGAATTCCCTTCATCCTTGTGAACGTGGATGGCTCCAGGGGGAGGCAGAGAGGGGCCCATCTTGGCAGGTGGGATGGAGCTCAAGACTAGGGGATGGATCTGTGTCCAGAGACAGGAAATCCCAGGTTTTCTTTGAAGATGGGTGGTTCAGAGAAAAGGCCAGAACAGGCAGGCTGCAGGTTTCCTTCAAGAGAGCTTTCTGATAAGGTAAGAAGGTATAAAAAGAAATTTGCAGAATCCTGGAAATATCTTTAAGGAGTGGCTTGTCTGCACTAGTGGAAGTGTTGGGGAAGACCAAGGAGATGCAGAGTGCAGGGAACAAACGGGGGGTGCATGTGTACTCCGGGTGGGTGGAGACAGGGTGAGTGGCGGCAGCCTGCAGTGGCTGGTGTATAGAAAACAGGGTGACAGGATTGTGACCCACAAGAGGGCAGGAGGTGCTGGAGAGACAGAGTCAGGAACATGGGGGTTGATGTAGTGACCAGGCAGAGAGCCCCAGCTGCCAGGCTGTGAGATGGGGATGACAGTTTGGGGCCTCAGAGCCATGCAGATGGGAGAGTGTTGGGGTTCTCCATTTGGAAGTGGGAACATTGGCTGAGGGCTTCCCCCTTTGGGTGCTGGGTGCTCTTCTCACTAGAGCAAACCTTCCAGGAGGCTCAGAGTTGCAGACCCTGGCAGGTCCGCCTCTTCCCTGCAGCTCAGGCCTCTCCTCTGCCCTCACACAGGGCTTGAGCAGGAACCTGTTGTTTCAGGAGCCAGTGACCTTTGAGGACGTGGCCGTGTACTTCACCCAGAATCAATGGGCCAGCCTGGACCCCACGCAGAGGGCCCTGTACCGGGAGGTGATGCTGGAGAATTATGCGAGTGTGGCTTCTCTGGGTAAGGACTCTCTCCGTGGTCCGTTGTCATAGTTTGACTTCTTCCTCAGATGTTTTAGGGCTTCTAGAAGTCCTTGGATTTGATGACTTCAGAGATTAGTTCTGCAGTCCTCAGCCTCTGGAGATGCTGGGTGAGGAAATAAATCCCTGGTTCCCTCTGGTTTTGAAATCAGACTTCCCTACATCCCGGAAGAGCATGGTTCTGGGCCCTGGCGGGGGAGGATGCTTCCCTGTGCCCTAGGTGAGCCCTTTGTTCCTCCATGCTGCCAGTGTTCTGGAGATGTTGTCCTCCCCCCATGGGAATCAGTACCTATGTTCTTCCTGAGGGCATCTCTTCCTTTAGGTCAGGGCAAGATTGCAGTTTCTTCCTGAAGAGAGTGGCTATCTCCTTGGCCTTGCCTTGGAGCATAGTTTGGAGCTCTTCCTCAGCAACCCCCCCCCTTTTTTTTTTTAAAGATTTTTATTTATTATTTGACAGAGAGAGAGTGAGCACAAGTAGGCAGAGTGGCAGGCAGAGGGAGAGGAAGAAGCAGGCTCTCTGCTGAGCAGGGAGCCAGACGTGGGGCTCGATCCCAGGACCCTGGGATCAGGACCTGAGCTGAAGGCAGCCGCTTAACCTACTGAGCCACCCAGGCGCCCCCTCAACACCCCTTGGTAGCTCAGCTGGTCTCCTGGGCATTTCATCTCATCCCTCCCTCCCTCCCCCTGTTAGCCTGTTGTGAGGTGGGCCGAGCAAGATCTCAGGAAAGCTCTGGAAGTCTTCCCTCAACTTGTTTTTCCTTTTTCTTGCTGGAGTAGCATTTCCATTCCCCAAACCTGATCTGGTCTCCCAGCTGGAGAGAGGGGAAGCGCCATGGAGCCCGGATCCCTGGGAAGCAGAGGTTTTGAAAGGCACCTGTCCAGGTGAGTAAGAGAACCTAGTGGTTTCTGATGTTGCCTTCCCAATTTCTTAGAAATGTTTCTCCCGCAGCAGGGAAGCCGTGGCTCCCTGTCGTTTATAAGGCAGTACTCAGTGCACTCTACGACCTCCACCCAGTTCCAGCCCTGAGCCTGGGAAGACCAGTCCCCAGGAGTGTGTGGCTACTCACCTCCCACAGAGAAGCTGTGACCCAGTGCTCTTAAACCACTTCTTTTCTCACTTACCAGTGGAAATACTTAATTTTAAGCCAATTTTATGCGAAGAAATGGGTTTCAGCCATACTTTGAGGAAAGTATGATTCTATGGGTCAGACTAATTTATTTGTGCCACAGCTATGAATTTTGTTTCTAGGCCTTCAGCAATGAAATAAATGCCTTTACTTTGCCTTTTTAGTGTTTAAGTTACCTAAAAGTTCTATATGCCAGAATCTTTAGGTCTGCATTATATTTGTCTTATATATAACTGTAGAGGGAGAGGCAGGGACTGTTTCTCCACCACTGCACCCAACACACACACACACACACACACACACGCATACATGAACACACATGTGCACACACAGCCAACACACACAGCCTAAAATTTCCCTGAGACTGCTCAACATTCCTGGGAGCTCTTGATTACTTGGGTTTTCTTTCTTTTGGAAGAAATTTTCCGTATATGCTGTGATTTTGTAAATCACAGTTCTTTTATTAGAGCTATGCCTGTGGCCTACAGCTCTCCCATTCAATTTGAGTTCCAGCTGACTTTCTGGAAGAATCTTTTATCCCAGAAGATTATGTGGAATAGTTATTTATTTATTTGCTTTAAGATTTATTTATTTTAGAGAGAGAGAATGAGAAGGAGAGGGAGAGAGAATCTTCAAGTGGACTCCATGCTGAGCATGGAGCCCGATGCGGGGCTCGATCCCACAACCCGGAGATCAGACCTGAGTGGAAATCAAGAGTCAGACACTTAACTGACTGTGCCACCCGGGTGCCCCAATGTGGGATATTTAAAAATAGACTCATTGGGCCATTATTTAGAATTTAGGATGGTTTCCTGGCTTGCAGGTGGGGACGTTGAAATGCAGTGTTCTTGAGTTTGGATTGCAGCCCGCTAGACCCCTGCTGGTGCAAGAGCTCTGCCCATCTCTTCTCCCCAGGAATGTGGATTTCCTTCCCTTTTTGGGGTCTCTCTCTCTCTCTTTCTCTCTCAAAAATTTTCCATTTTTTGCTGATCCTCTTATCTCTCCCATTCTGGTTTCTCCTTTCTCCCCTCCTGCCTTCTTTCCTTTCCATTCTGGAAGGTCTCATCGTGCTCCTTTCATCTGCTTTAGTCCACTTCCCAGCCTTCCTCATAGGAGGCACTTCCTCCTATTTCCAGTGTCATCCTCCCTCCAGTTAGTAGATTATCATTTTTCTTTTTCTCTCTTATGGATGACATACGAGATGTCATATGTATGGATGGAGTATGATCCATCTGTATGGATGCCTGTAGCCACTTCAAGAGTATATTTTTCAAAATCATAGAGAAAACAGGAGCCCTGGATCCTGTTCCCCTCCCAGCTCAGTAACTCAGAACACTTGTGGTTTCTTTGGGCAGGTGGTGAGTTCTGGATCAAGGAGGAGGAGCCAGCTGTAAAGCAGGAAACCTCTGAGGAGGCAGAATTGCCCAGAATGCCGGGAGGAGGACTTCTCAGAAACGTTTCCCAGCACTTTGACTTTAAAAGCAAGGCGACATGGCAGACTTTCAGTCTGAATCCAAATCTGATACTTCGGGGTGGCATGAAGTTCTACGAATGTAAAGAATGTGGGAAAATCTTCAGATATAATTCAAAGCTGCTTCGGCACCAGATGAGTCATACTGGGGAAAAGCCCTTCAAGTGTAAGGAATGCGGCAAAGCTTTTAAGTCCAGCTATGACTGTATCGTACACGAGAAGAATCACATCGGAGAAGGGCCCTATGAATGTAAGGAGTGCGGCAAAGGTTTGAGTTCCAACACGGCTTTGACTCAGCATCAGAGGATCCACACTGGGGAGAAACCGTACGAATGTAAGGAGTGTGGGAAGGCCTTCCGAAGAAGCGCAGCCTATCTGCAGCATCAGAGATTGCACACCGGAGAGAAGCTCTATAAGTGCAAGGAATGCTGGAAGGCTTTTGGGTGTCGGTCGCTTTTTATCGTCCATCAGAGGGTTCATACGGGGGAGAAGCCCTACCAGTGTGAGGAATGCGGCAAGGCCTTCACTCAGAAGATAGCCTCCATCCAGCATCAGAGAGTGCACACCGGCGAGAAGCCCTATGAGTGCAAGGTGTGCGGCAAAGCCTTCAAGTGGTATGGCAGTTTTGTTCAGCACCAGAAGTTGCACCCTTTGGAGAAGAAGCACACCAAGGTTCTTGGGCCATCCCTGATGAGTCCCCCGTGTGCCCCTCCAGCCTTATCTGCCGTTCCTGTCCAGGGCCCGTGCTCTGCTCCCGCTGTGGCCGCACCTTCACTGACCTTTCCACATGCTGTGCTCATTCCTACCTCCGGGCCTTTGTTTGTGCTACTGCCCGCACCTGGAATGCCTTCTTCACCTGTCCAAACAGTGCGTGTCTTCCAGGGCCTTCCTCCCACTGTGAAGCCGTCTCCAGTTATGCTGGTCCCTTCCCCTCATGCCTCATGAGCTTTATTTCAGCACTCTATCGGCTTTTAGGACCAGCAGATCTTCAGCTTCACTTGAGTTTCATTTGTATGTTTTTTTTTGTTTGTTTTGTTTTTTTTTTTACTTTACACGCATTACTACTGTTTCAGCATAAACTCCATTATAATCTATCTTATATTGAAAGACTGTTTATGTATTTTCTTCCAGGGAGAAAGTGAAACTACCTGACCTTAGCACTGGTCTCTTTCAGGCTTGAACAGTAATGGCTGTATGTGTACTGTGGGGGTGCGGGTGTTAGAAGGGCTGGCAGGACACTTGGTTGTCTTAGAGTGTCTGGGAGAGAGGCTTCCCCTGCGCTGGGCCATTGTGGTTAGAGCCAAGTGGCTTGGGGGAGGCAGAAGAGGCACATAGGAACCGGGGTGAGGGTTGGGGGAGGCGCTGGAATCCACTTCCAGCAGCAGACTCAGAAATTAATGCAGCTTGTTCAGTGGGCTAAGGTGGTCGATCAACGCAATCGAAGTCATGTTGCCCTTGGCGTGGATCATTGAGGATCTCCTATGTCTATGCAAAAGATCATGTGAGATAACCAGTGAAAAACTAATGTATGCAGTGATCACAGTCATTTATGTGATTGATAGCAATCATGTTTTTAAACACAGAGTGTGTTTTTTTTTCTTTAGTTTTGCTCTTGATATCTAGGTGTTTCTTTTTAACTTTGGTTTCCTAAGTAAATACACACCAAAGTAGTCATCTTTCTTCCATGTGTTGTGTACATTTTTCTCTTTGGGCATTCTGGTTTTCTGTTTGCAAGCATTGGCTTCTACATTTTATGTTCTCCAAATAGCATGAATTGTAAATATGAATTTGGTGAATTATGAAAGAAATAGCATCTGTATAAAGCCAACGTGGGGGAAATCTGAATAAGTCTCTAAAATTATTTTTTAGGAGTAGAGGGAGCTGTGTGGTGGGTCAGTGGCTAAACTTCTGTGATAGGTCAGTGAAGTGGAATTTTGGATTGCTCTTAGTTTTGACCTTGGCGGGGATCTTTTACAGCTATGCAAAGGACTACGTGAAGCAATTTCTGGAAAAAGAATCTGAGTCCTGCATTATCGGCATTAATATAAAGTAACTCCTTAAACATTGATGAAAGGGGCCGTACATCTTATTCTTCTAAGTTGCTTTTGCTACCCAGATGTTTCTGCACAGCAATTCACAGAAAAACCTTTAAATTAGTGGTTCTTATACTTTCCTGTGTGTCTGAATAACCTGGTCTGAAAAGAGTAATTTTCTGGCCTAACTCCCAGAACTTCTGATTTTGGATATCTGTGGTGATGGCTAGACATACACTGAAAGAGAAACTCTGAGCACAAAGTGGCTGTGGGCTGTTGGACGTGTGTGTTGATACAAAGTTTGGGAGGGACTGTCTTCCTGCACAGTGGATCTTCAAGACAGAGACCTCTAAAAGCAGTGTGGGTGGCATTGGTTTAGAAGAGATAAAAGCAATTAAAACATGGCTGGTAGGGAATGAAAGAAAGGGGCAAAGAGGTCTGAGGTGGCTATGAGGCGTTCTAGAGGTCTCCACTGCCAGAGGTTTGTGGGGCCTGACATTGGCTCCCTTTTGCTATTTTCTTGTTGGCTGAAATAATGAAGAAATATTTTCATATTAGAAAGTTAGTTCTCCAGGGAGCTCTTGGGCTAAAGCAAGCACAAATTGCCTGCTACGGATGATCGGGAACTGAAAAACACTAAGAACAGGATGTGGCAGGGGGATGTGGCAAAAGGCGGTACTCAGAGCAGTATTGACGGGCTTGGATGCATCCTTCACAAAACGAGTTTGAAGCTTTGCAGTTCAGAGAGCTGGGGATGGTGTCTGGTGGTGGGAAACAAATTAACCACAAACTAAAGAAAACAGACAAAAAAATCCAAAACACAGTTGGCAAAAATAAGATATGCAACAGAGTTTTTGGTGAAAATGTTGGTTAAACATGTTAGCGTTCGTGCCCTCCCAAAACCCCACTAAAATAGCAAAAGATTAAAAATTAAAAGGCACCCGCTGACAAGGACAATGAAAATATGATGTGAAGAGCTTGGAAGCTGGAAGGCAGGTGAAGAGTTAAACTTTGAACAGCCACCAGGGGAAGCTAAGCAGCCATCCTATGTGGCAGATTCCCCACAGAGGCTTAGGAGTTGAATTTAGGTTTCTGTGGAAGTAGAGGATGCTGGTGGAGCTAAACATAGAATTTACAAAGTCTTTACGAAGCACTTAGATTCTCAGGTCACCTCCCCTATCCCTCTGTTCAGTGGAGCAGTAAAACAGGAGTTCTGGAGGTCAGGGGTGCCATGCTGAATGTCAGGTCCTTCTCCCCCACCCTCTAGCCTTCTGCCCCTGCTTCTATTCCAGAATGCTGTCAGTTAGACTTGTGTACCTTCTCAGCTAGAAATTGGAAGAACTTTCTTTGGGAGATCGGATGAATCAAGAGAAAAGACAATGTCTTTTTTGGCTCTCTGGCGATGTTTCAACTGTGCATGTAGAGCTTCTTAGCCAGCCTTTTATTTTTTAAATTTAAAAAAAAATTTTAAAGATTTTATTTTGTGAGAGCATGCGAACGGTGGGGGGAGGGGCAGAGGAAGAGGGAGCGAGAATCCAAAGCAGACTCCCTGCTGAGTGCAGAGCCCAACATGAGACTGGATAGTAGGATCTGAGCCCAAATCAAGAGTTGAATGCTCAACCGACTGAGCCACCCAGGCGCCCCTCCCTTAGCCAGCCTTTTAATGCTCCATTCTTAGATATAAACCAATAGCCAAGGATATGAAAGAGGCTGGAGCAAGGAAAAAGCCCACTTGAAAGAGACTATGGCGGGAAGAATTTATTCTGAGTTTAGAGAGAAGAGGTTCACATCTATGAAATGATAGGCTGCTCCAAACAAAACTCAGAGAACAGGAAAAAGCTCTTGAAAACTAAAAGTTGGTATCAGAAATGAGACTTAGAGTGAGCACTGAAAAATAAAGGCAAGGGAATCCCCTAGAAAGCATGGCAAAAAGAGGTGAAAGTAACCAAAAGAGGTGCAGTGTAGGTGACCTAACAGGTGTTAGAGGGGGACAGAGAAGCAAATCCTAAAAGAAATGCTGCCAGGCGATTTCCCAGAATGGAAGCCTAGGGTTCCATGCCATCATCAGCACGTGTTAAGTACTTGGAGTAAAGTTACCCCACCGCAGGCCTCCATGTCCCTCCTGGCAGGAATAAAGAGGGACTCCAGACCCATACCCAAACCTACCATGCTCCAACCTCAGCCTGCCCAGCCTTCTAGTCCAGAGCCTTGGGATAGTCTCCGCCTGCATCAGACGTTTACCTCAGTCACCATGAGGAGCCCTGACCTCCCAGGATAACCCCCGTCTCCTGCAAATTTAATCCTCCACATCTCTGCATTCCCCCTTTGTCTTCATCTGCTCCCTCTTCAGCTCCTGCATACCTTTCTCCCTTCTGCTCTCTGAAATGGCCAGTCCACTGGTAGCGAAGTTGCCTGTGTGCTGAACCTCTCAACATTGCCTTTACCTTTGTGCTCTAATCAGAACCTGCCGGTCCCTTGAGGATATTGCTGCCCCAGCGCCCTCTGACGGTGGTCCCCCTCTCACACAGGGCTGATTCCAGATAGCCTGGGTCCTCTTTGTTTCTCTTTGCCAGTTCTGGACCATTCTTTTTTTTTTTTTTAACAACTGATAATTTATTAAAAAAGCTGATTTAAGCATCTGCAATGGTGACTTCAACCTCCACTCCTGGCTCAATACTGATGGAAGTAATCTGCTTAACAATCTCAGAAGGACTGTGCAAATCAATGAGTCGCTTGTGGATCCTCATCTGAAAACGATCCCAGGTCTTAGAACCTTCACCACAAGGAGTTTTTCTTGTAGTGATTCTCAGAGTCTCGGTAGGCATCCGAACTGGTCCTTTCACTTTGAGATTCTTTTCCTTTGCGCCTCTGATCAAGTCAGCACATACCTTTCCCAAAGATTTTACGTTGCGGCTGGTGAGAGTAGTTCTAATTCGGTGAATCACCACCTCCGGTTCCATGGGTGTCTTCCCGGTGTCTTTAAAAGCCATGGCTGGGCACCTGGGTGGCTCAGTTGGTTAAGCGACTGCCTTCAGCTCAGGTCATGATCCTGGAGTCCCGGGATCGAGTTCCGCATCGGGCTCCCTGCTCGGCAGGGAGTCTGCTTCTCCCTCGGACCCTCCCCCTTCTCATGCTCTCTCTCTATCTCATTCTCTCTCTCAAATAAATAAATAAAATCTTAAAAAAAAATAAAATAAAAGCCATGGCTGTGGCGCGGCTTCCTGACTGACTTGTTCCTCAGTGAGAGGAACAGCGGTGAGTCAGGAGCAGGAGCGGGGCGTCCAAACCTCCGCTGTAGCTGCGACCGCGTCTTCCTCAAGAAGAGCCAGTTCCAGACCATTCTGCCTCTCCTCCCCTTTCCTAAAAACCACCGTTGAATCTCAGGTCATCAGGCTGTACTGCCAGGCTTCTGGGTCACACCCATTTATTTCTAGAAGCTTTTAGTTCCTGGCCTGCTTGCACTCTCTTCAACATTATTCTTGTCAGAGTTCTTGGTGATTTCAATAGCTGATCCCTCCAGTAACCTCGCCCTCTTATTTCCTTCCTGGCCCTCCATTTTATCCCAGGCTCTCCTCTGATCAGATCTTAGGCCTTGTTGCTACCAAGCACCTCACCTCCTCCGTGGCCTCAGCACTTTAAATATCCTGCCCTCTTAGCTCTTTTCATTCCTTTTAGAATCCTGATGTCAACTGTCCTTCACTTCCTTCGTGCCTGTCCTTTCTCCTTCGCCTGGCATGAATTCCATGCTCAACTGTCATAACAGTCCCTTCACAGTCTCCCTTAACTCCCTTGTCCTCATGTTCACTTGACCCACCTCAGACTGAACGCAGTTCTTTGCCTTCTCTGTGACTGCACCTTCCCTACCGAAGGCGACCAGGAAAACACACTACCGTGTTCAGTTGTTTCACCTGAAGTTCACGACCAGTAACTGCAAGTGGGCCCCTGATGCTTCCCGACAGTCATACTACATTTCTGGGGTCCACGGCACTCCCCCACTCCCTTGGACCACTGTTCTGTAGCTTCTCTCTTCTCAGTTCTGTGGTGTCTCCTTCTCAATCCTCGGGCTCATGATCATTTCTGTCCTCTGCCGGGAGAACAGTTAGGCTCCAGAGAGCCTGGGTGATACGTGTCGAAGTCAGGTGGAGCCAAGTTGGGCCCGGGATTGCTGCGGCCACCTCGTCTTGCCCACCTGCCTTCCAGCTTGCAGTATCTGGTTTTCCACCGCCATATTCTCAATCACGTACACCAAGACACTTCCACATCCAAGGTTCACCCACTCGGCAACCCACTTCTGGTTCCTAATTCTGTGTTGGCCAGTGTTCAGTTGCTAACTGCAGATCCACCTTCACTAGTTTAAGTGCAAAGAGATTTGGTACATATTCCTAGTTAACTTGCAGAATTTCCAAGAGGGAACCAACGTAGAATGTCACGTAGGCAGAAGCCAAGAAAAATAACCAACAATGACAGTACCAAATGGTTCTAGTGGAAACCCAGCAGCGGCTGGTGTCTGCTACTGGATTGTCCTCTACCCGCATTGAATAGAGGGACTGGACCACCAGGAGGTTCCTACATATTCTGGAGAAAAAGCAAGTACCCACACAACTATTTTGGTAGGAGACCATAGGGCACTGTGATCTTCCATCTTCTGCAAGGGTGTACCTGCCACTGAAGTTGGTTATATGTGTACATCTGCATAGCAAGGGCTTCTGGGATATACTTTTTGGATTTTACCTGGGGGAAGTGAGATTTATAAGGTTGAGAAGTCCTAAAATGGGAAAAGGGTTTTCAAAATATTTTGGGCAGTCATAAAATATCAGATATCCATTAGAGGCACAGAAGATGACCTAAATGACCGAGGGATGCACTCTACTCGTGAGTGGGGAAGATCAGTACCGTCAAGATTTCAACTTTTGCCAAATGAATTTATAGATTAAAAGCAATTCCAACCAAAATTGCAAAGGGGATTGTGTATGGGACCTGAAAAACTGATGCTAAAGTTTATATAGGAGAGCAAAGAACAAAGGATACCCAAGACAATTTTGAAGAGCAAGGTGGGAGATTTTTTTCTTCCAGATATTAAATATAACGATCATTGAAAAGAACAAAACAAAGAAAACCCCTCAAAAATCTAAGTTGTAAAATAGATACACTGTAATATGATTTGCATAAATTAAAAACAAATCTAAGCCAAAAATACACTATTTGGTAATATATACATACATTTTATACAAAATACACATACAAAATACAAAGTTATAGAGAAATGAAATCTACAAGCATCAGTGGCATAGGCTGGGAAAATATAAAAGATCCACCTTCATTTCTCTCTTACTATTTTTCTCATTTTGTCCCAAATGTCTGGAACCCAATCCCAAATGCTGCTCACCAGTTGTCCAACACCCTTCACTGTTGCCACCTCTTTCTTGTCTGAAACTGAGTCAGATATTTTGTTTCTAAAATATCTTGGGTTAGGGACGCCTGGGTTGCTCAGTCGGTTAAGCGTCTGCCTTCGGCTCGGGTCGTGATCCCAGGGTCCTGGGATTGAGTCCCTCATCGGGCTCCTTGCTCGGCAGGGAGCCTGCTTCTCCTTCTGCCTCAGCCCTCCCCTTGCTTGTGCACGTGCTCTCTCTCTAAAATAAATAAATGAAATCTTTAAAAAAATATCTTGAGTTAATAACTCTCAAAGTATGAAATGTGGTCTTTTAATCTCTCTGTAAGTAGAGCAGTACTAGTATCTTACTTCATGGCTCTCCAGAAGTTATGTAACTAAAAATCATACAATGTTAGGGGTCCCTGGGTGGCTCAGTCGGTTGAGTGTCCGACTCTTGCTTTTGGCTCAGGTCATGATCTCAAGGGTCATGAGATCATGCATCTGTCAGGGCCGGAGAAGGAACCCATGCCCCTTGGAACCCATGGATATTGCTGGAGAACATGATTCTAGTGAAACACCTGAAACTCAGCCCCACTAGGAGCATCGCCCTGAGGCCAAAGCTGAAGACTGAGCCTCACCCTAATGGCCAAAGCTGAAGACTGAGCCTCACCCTAATGGCCAAAGCTGAAGACTGAGCCGCACCCCTCCACTCGGGCTCCACGCTCAGTAGGGAGTCTGCTTGAGAGTCTTTTCCTCTGCCCCTCCCCCCACTCACGCTCTAGCGCTCTCTCTCAAATAAATAAATCTTTAAAAATCAGGGGCACCTGGGTGGCTCAGTCGTTAAGCGGCTGCCTTCGGCTCAGGTCATGATCCCAGGGTCCTGGGATCGAGCCCCACATCGGGCTCCCTGCTTGGCGGGAAGCCTGCTTCTCCCTCTCCCACTCCCCCTGCTTGTGTTCCCTCTCTCACTGTCTTTCTCTGTCAAATAATAAAAAAAAACTAAAAAAAAATCGTATAATTTTAAAAGCCAGATGATTGAATGTGTTGCTTAAAGAAAACATTTTTTTTAAAGATTTTATTTTAGAGAGAGTGAGCACGAGCGTGCATGCAGCAGGGAGGGGCAGAGGGAGAGGGAGAGAGAGAATCTCAAGCAGACTCCCCAGTGAGCATGGAGCCTGACTTGGGGCTCAATCTCACGACCTTGAAATCATGACCTGAGCCGAAATCAAAATTCAGATGCCTAATTGAGCCACCCAGGCGCCCCTAAAGAAAACATTTTGTTAGTTTTATTACCTGAAGCCCAATTATAAGACTGGCTCATGTCTTTCTCTTAAATGAATCAGTAATCAATGTTATAACTTCATTTCTGCTGATCTACTTGCTAATTACAGTGAATTTATGATGTTACAGGAAATTTAATTGGCCCAAAAGTTTCAGTCTACTCCTTTTTGTTACCTCTACAAGGACACCTTGGATTTCAATAATGATAAAAATAGATACTTTCCTGGTTTACCACTTAATATTTAAGCACAGTATGTTGCATATGAGGCTTCCTATCTCAGGTCTGTATAAAAAGAAGCTCCAGAGATGGTAAAGGACCTTTCTCAAGGTCACAGTGGTTGGGGACAGAAGTGAAATATTTTGATGCCCACTTTCAGCTCTTGACATTAACTTTTGAAGGAAACATCACAAGTATAGTGCTTTTCAGTCTATCAAGTGATCGTTATAGGGCAGAGGTCTTTTTTTTTTTGCCCTTGTTTTGCAGGCTATCTTAGCAGTTCAGTTCTAATTTGTTTGTTGTCAGTGACTACTAGCAGATGGCTTAATTAATTGCAGGGGCAATGTCCATTAGACTGTCAAAGTGTAAATAATGAATCTTAGCCGTAGACGCAGCAGAAATCTGAAGCCATGTTGTGCCTGTGTCTGAGAAGAGAGATTCTCTTTCTTTACAGGTGCTGTGTTCTGGGAATAGGTCAGTTTTCCTGTACTTCTCAGGTCTCTCATTTTCCATAAACAGGATGGCTAGTTGTTTCATAAACGCTGAGGGTCTCCATCATTTGTATAAATTCTCCACTTTTAACTTCTTGATCATATAAAGCAGTTTTTTTTGTTTTACACTTTTTTTTTTTTTTTAAGTAAGCTCTGCGCCCAACATGGAGCTTGAACTCACGCCATGTGCTGTACTAATTGACTGAGTCAGCCAGGTGCCCTGCATATAAAGTATCTCTTAAAACTAAAAACATTGTTTTTCTAATTATAGGAGAAATACATACTTAGACCAAAATCTTACCTAGAAAACACCTTGTCTTGAATTTCAACACTTTTAATACTTTGGTATACACACAAACATGCACCCAATCACACAATCATGCACACATGCATGCATACACAAATTATAAAATGCATATTCTATCACAGACTCCTTTTTTCAGTTAGCAGAATATCATGTGCATGTCCTAGTCAACAATTAATATTATGTGTATTAGCTGCATAATATTACATTGCCTGGATTTATATTCTTTACATAACCCGTTATTATTGAACATGTAGGATAGTTCCATTTTGAATCTCTTAAATACTGTGATGAACATCGAGTACATACGTAATTGTTACAGTCATTATTTTTAAAGTTTATTTCTGCATACTTTTTGAAGAAAAATGGAATATTTTCAATAAGGTAGGGGTCCCTTTTGTTCTTCTCTTTCCTATTTGCCTCTTCCATTATTTCTCCAGAGTTAATCCATGAATAATAAATGGCAATCCTTTGCACATTTAAAAAAGTTGATGTAGGTGCTAGTGTCCCAGGAATGCTAGAGAGAGTTATGCCGCATACAACCACATACGTGCTTCTCTGTTAGTCTCTGTGGGTTATTAGTCTCTTACTCAGCAACTTGCCTTTTTTC